TGGGAGAGGGAGAAGCAGGCTTCCCACGGAGCAGGGAGCCCGATGCGGGGCTCGATCCCAGGACCCCGGGATCATGACCTGAGCCGAAGGCAGACCCTTAACGACTGAGCCACCCAGGCGTCCCTATAGGGATAATTTTAAAATAAGAAGTTTTAAGAAATTAAGTGTCTCCAAACATTCAAACAGTGCTTGAAATATTAATGTCTCTAAGCTTTTGGTTAAATCACGAGTTTAATATATTAGATTTTCTTAAATTCTTTCAAAGTGAGCAATATTTACATACGAATATTCCAAAATTGATGCGCTCTCGTGCATCTCGAGGATTTGCATTCTAAGGACAGTTATGGCTGAGATAGGCGCCTATATAAGGAGGGAGGGAGGGAGGAAGGCAGGCACAAGAATGAACGAACGTGACACAGAGTAATTCCATATTTCCTTAAAACAGTGGGTAACACGCACTGGGGAACATTATCGTACCACCTGTGTGTGAAGATGAAGGACCCTGAAAAACCAGAAACCCTCACCGTGGAGCAACAAAGGGAACTCTCTTCCTCGGCGCCAGCGGTCGTCCGAGGGCATTGAGACTGCCTTTCCTTTGGTTTTTATGTGCGACAGACACGCAGGTTGTCCCAGGGAGAAAGGGCCGAGGAATCGATCCCGTGATGTGCCAGCAACACCTAGACGACCCAAGACGAGCAAATCTGGGAAAGTACGTGGTGCGCGGCCGGTTCAGCAAGGAAAACAGATGCTTTAGGGACGTCTCGGAGAACAATTCAGACTCAAGAAAACTTGAGGCTGGGGGCTTGCACCTCTGGGTGTAGGGGCTGCAAAACTGATGGCCACCCTTCACAGGCCACACGGAGGCCACACCCGAGCACAGGCCTCCGGAGGCGGAGCTGGGGTCGGCCCTCCCGGGCTCGCCGCCCGAGCGCCACCGGTCTGAGCCCGCCCCTCCCACTGGGCTTTGTCCTTAAAGCCCCAGGCTGGGGTCGCCTCCGGGGACCTCAGCCGTTTCCGCTTCTGCGAGTCCGGCGTTTAGCCTCGGGGCCGCTTGGGTGCAGGCCGGGCTCCCGGGACCCCGAGCGCAGGACGCCCAGCCAGGCGACTCCCCACCTCAGGCGCACCGGCCCACGAAAGCGGGGGCGCGCCCGCGGGACTCCATTTCCCAGCGCGCTGCGCGGAGCCGCCTGGCCGTGGCCACGGACGTCGGAAAGGGCTCCGCCCACCCGGCCGCAGAGCGCGCGGGAACTACGCTTCCCAGAAGGCGCCGCGCGTGCGTCCGCGGCGCGCATTGGGCCAGTGAGGGCTTGCGGGGGCTGGACTTCCGGCGTCCGGGACTGTCACTTCGCTGCGGGGCGTGGGGCCACACCGGTGTTGGGGACTGGAGCGCGGCGGCTCCGGGTCGGCCTTCCAGGAGCCTTGGAGAGCCAGGCGAGGGCCGCGACGAGGGCGCGAGCGGAGGGCCGCTAGGCGCACGCCGTGGTCCCCGGCGACGGTCGCGCCCCCCGAGCCTCGGTTTCTCCGGGTGTAGCCCGGGCCGCCCCGCGGGGCTGTGGGGCGGTGCCCCGCGTCACGTGCTCTCCGAGCCCCGGGCGGCAGGGGAGACGGCGTCCTGGGCGTCTGTGCCCCCGACGGCGGAGAGACTGAGGCCCGGAGCCGGGACGTCCGCGTAGCCGTCGCTTTCTGCGCGTCCCCAAGTACAGGTTCTGATGGCGACCGCGGCGCTGACGGACCCGGCGCAGGTGAGTAGAGGCAGCGTAAGACCCCCTCCCGCCCCAGCCACCTAGATCCCCCCCGGGAGGGACCCGAGTCTCGGCTCAGGGAGGGACTTTACCCGAACGTCCTGTCTCCCCTCTCGGTTCGTCCTGGGCCCCGGTGTTCAGGCCAGTGGAGCGTGCACGTGTGAGATCCCCGCTTCGGGCAGCCAGGGGAGTGAGGTGTGGAAGGAAGTTCCGAGCGGAGGGTCCCGCACGTGCAAAAGCGGGGAGGGGAGACGGAGCCTAGGTGCTTCGGGAACCGAGCTTGCCGACGTGAGCGCGGCGGAGAAATGGCAGGCTGAGGAGTCGTGTCGGGAGCCGGGGGAGGATTCGAACAGAGACTGGACGTGCTTTAAGTTAGGGTTTTTAGAAGTATCCCACGGATTGCTTGGCGGAGAAACGACGCAGAGCGGGGGTGGCCGTGTGCAGGGGCCGGGCGCTGCCACAGCCCAGGTGGCGGAAGACGGCACCTGCGGCACACCGGGCCAGTGGAGATGGGGAAAGTGGTTGGATTCTGGAGAGATCTGATGTCTCAGGTGCGGCGTGGGAGCCAGTGGCCCGAGTGGAGCACAGTCCCAGGTTTTCTGGCCTGAGCACCCAGAAGAACAGAACTGCTGTAGACGGACACAGGAATTTGAAGGGAAAGCAGGCTTCAGAGTAAAAGCAGGGAATCTGTGCTGGCCCGGACTGGAGGTATCACGTGGACCTGGAATTGCAGATGTCCGAGGACACAGTCCTGACATTCTGAGCCGGCAGGGCCTGGGAATCACATTTAGGAGGAAGGAATCTTATGGACTCAGCCAGGGATGGGTAGCACTCCAGGGAAGTGAAGACAGGCTGGTAGCCCCTGGGGCTCTGGGAGGAAGTCAAGTGGCCTAAGGCAGGGTTTTGGCCAGGGAAATGGGGGGAGGGGTGGGCGTGGTTATGGAGGGAGGAGGAAACTGGCTTCCTGTGTGCTCACCAGATCCTTGGGCCCCCTCCTGTAGTGACTGGAGGGGATCAGCCAGCCAGTCCTTCATGCTGGAGGAACAGCCTTGGGATGTCAGGCAAGTTCAGCAGAAGGGGGCGTCCCTCCAGGCCTGCGCAGGTCCTGGCGGGTCCGCAGCTGGGCCTTGTACAACTGCTCATTACAGGAACAGTTAAGGGCATGTCTGGGGAGGGTCAGTTTGTGCAAAGGCTGGAGCACATGTGGGCACCTGGGCCTGCCCTTGGGGTGGCAGCCATCTGAAGGCCGTGAGCTTGCTCTGGCTGCCTTGTGTGAGTGGCCAGTGGGGAGGCCGAGAAGGCATCTGTGCCCTGGACAGGCAGGGTGTAGGGGAGAGGAGAGAAGTTTCGTCTGCAGAGTTGCAGAGCCTTGGGGAGGGGGGGAGGGGGGGAGGAAGGTAAGCCTCTGAGGGACATGGGGAAAGGCAGCCTTTGGGACAGGGAGGTGGGTCCTGGGTCCTAGAGCCATAGCTTAGATCGTGTCCATCTTCCCCTGCCCGCTGTTGTAGGGCCTGATGGCCTTTGAGGATGTGGCCGTGTACTTCTCCCAGGAGGAGTGGGAGCTCCTGGACACAGCCCAGAGGGCCTTGTACTGCCACGTGATGCTGGAGAACTTCACACTTGTGGCCTCGCTGGGTAAGGCCCTGGGTTTTCCCCGGGAAGCTCAGTTGTTGCCAGCACTAACCCCATATCTCCTGTTGGCCTATGAGCAGCCTCACACCAGCTGGCTGAGTGTCCCTGTGCCGCCGTGGCGCCTCTGTGTTCAGCCTCGGCCCCTTTCATCTGCTGCTGCCAACACGGTTCTCCTCACAGGGACCATTGCACTTTTCCTGTGAGTCCTGCCCTGTGGTGTGGTCTTCTTGGGTGCACGGATGACACCATCTATGTCCCATAAAGTCCTGACTCCTGCCCTCTGTTGTGCTGGGCCTGGCCCCTCACTTGCTTGTCTTTTCTCACAGGACTGTCTGCCTCACGACCCCGGGTAGTCATCCAGCTTGAGCGTGGCGAGGAGCCCTGGGTTCTCGGTGGGACAGTTGCGACACCAGCCAGGAATGCTCACAGGAAGCCCAGCCCTGGTGAGTGGGGACTCAGAGGGTGTGAGCTTGGGCCCACCCGTGGCCAGGCTTCTGTCCCCCTTTCCCTGCCTTCCCGGACACTCTCATCTCTTGCCTCCCACCTGACTCCGTCCTGTTCTCCTTCTACCATCAGCCCCTCCTGGAGGCTCTGGCCTTGGCTCGCCCACCAAGGGGGAGCTCCCGTGGGACCCCATTCTGGGCACCGGGGCACAGCCTTTACCAGGACGCTCCTGGTCCTGCTTTCATGGAGTTGACCATGCTAGGGGAGAGGCAGCGGGGAAACAGAGTTTGTGAGTAAAGCCTATAGCGGCAGGTAGCCATCCGTGGAAGGAGCAAAAGGAGGCTGGAGGAGTCCCCCGAGACAGAAGTGAATGACATACACTGGTCTGGCTGCTGCTTTTCTCCCCAGCTCGCACACCCGGTCCTTGGCATCCCCTTTGTCTGACCACTAGGCCTGCCCCGGTCATCCCCTCTCGGCCAGCATGACCCAGGGCCTACCGTTTCTGTGCCTTCAGGTTCCCGTCACCTGGCATACGACAGGGTTGTTCCAGGAGAAGCAGTACTGCCAGGGGCCTTCCATGACGGCTCCCCTCCAGCACCTACGAGGGTCCTCCCCTTCGTTGGCATCTGTGACCGTGGGAAAAGCCTGGAGGGCTGGCGGGGCACCTCCCCCTCTCAGGAGAGAAAACCCACAGGGGTGTCTGTAATCTACTGGGAACGGCTCCTGCTAGGTCCTGGCAGTGGGGAGGCCAGTGTCAGTCTGCGGCTGACCTCCCCACTGAGGACGAACCAGGAGAGCCAACCCAGGGAGAAGGCCCTAATAAAACGCCCCAAACCAGCCAAACACCGAAGGGCATCCCAGAACCAGAAGCCATACGCGCGGGAAGCCCCCCAAAGAGCCTTCCCAAAAATCCCAGAACTTGAGGCTAGTCACACCACCGGGGAAGGAAGAAAGAGTCCAGCTACCCACAAGCCTCAGAGACTCCCTGATACCCACAAGCCCCCAACCTGGGATCAGCTGGGCAAGGCCCTCCACCCAGGCCCTGGCCTCCTTCCCGGGGAGAAGCCCTTCGAATGCAGGGCGTGCAACAAAGTATTCGTGAAGAGCTCGGACCTGCTCAAGCACCTGCGCACACACACTGGAGAGCGGCCATACGAATGCGCGCAGTGCGGCAAGGCCTTCAGCCAGACGTCGCACCTGACGCAGCACCAGCGCATCCACAGTGGTGAGACGCCCTACGCGTGCCCGGCCTGTGGCAAGGCCTTCCGGCATAGCTCCTCACTGGTGAGGCACCAGCGCATACACACAGCCGAGAAGTCCTTCCGCTGCAGTGAGTGTGGCAAGGCCTTCAGCCACGGCTCCAACCTCAGCCAGCACCGCAAGATCCATGCAGGCGGGCGGCCCTACGCGTGTGCCCAGTGTGGCCGCCGTTTCTGCCGCAACTCACACCTCATTCAGCATGAGCGCATGCACACGGGGGAGAAGCCTTATACTTGTGCCCTTTGTGGTGCTGCCTTCAGCCAGGGTTCCTCACTCTCCAAGCACCAGCGTGTACACACAGGCGAGAAGCCCTTCGCCTGCGCACAGTGTGGCCGCGCCTTCAGCCACAGCTCTAACCTCACGCAGCATCAGCTGCTGCACACGGGCGAGCGGCCCTTCCGCTGCGGGGACTGCGGGAAGGCTTTTGCCAAGGGCGCGGTGTTGCTCAGCCACCGACGCATCCACACGGGTGAGAAGCCCTTTGTGTGCGCACATTGTGGCCGCGCCTTCCGCGAGCGCCCGGCCCTCTTCCACCACCAGAGGATCCACACGGGAGAGAAACCTGTGCGCAGACCCCGGCGTGGGGCAGGCCTGACCCCCCAGGCCAGGCCTTCTTCGGTGGTGTCATCAGAGGGCTCACTGGGGAGGGAAGCGGGGTCCACTTCTGCCTCAGGTCCAGCCGCAGTTTCGAAGCCTGCTGAAGCCTGAGTTCACAGCTCCAACCTTCCCAGGCTTGTCGTAAAACACCCGCATTCCCTGCATACCCACATTTTGGAGAAGACCCGTGTGTGCACTGTGGTTCCGTCTGCACATGGTGACGACGTTTGCCATTTCAGCCACGGCTCACGCCAACCCTAAGTGGTCAGCCTGCAGAAATAGCAGGGGCATATTCTCCCCATTTGGATGCTGGGACTTTGGCAGGGCAGAGACTTGGCAATAGAGTGCCGTTTCATGCCTGTTATGACTGTGGGTGCTCAGGTGAGGAGGGGGACTGCTGGAACGCTGCGGAGGCAGACCCAGAAGTTTCCCCTGTCCATGCACAAACTGGCCGCCAGGCCGACCCTCAGGATATTCTTCCAAGACCTCACTTCCTCCAGGGCCTCCTGGGAGCGGACCCAGTGGGTAGGAGGTCATGTGAGGGCCTGGTGTTGCCCTTGGGCTCTGTCTTGGCTTCCACCTCTGGGGAAAGGAACCGACGAGAGAGGGAGAGAGATTCAGGCCTACCGAGGGATTCTGAAGGCAGCATCTCGCTGAGGGTCAACGTGTGCCAGTTGCCAGCCCCGTGAGGTGGCTGCTGTGGCTGCACTTCTCAGATGAGGAAATGGAGGCAGAGAGAGGGGATGTGAGTTGTACGCAGCAGAGCCAGGACTTGAATCCAGGCCGCAGGCCCAGCACCAGACAGGTCACCAGTCTGCCCCCGGGCTCTGACAGCCGTGCTCGGGTCTGCCAGTGTGAGAGCTGGGTGATGCCAGGCCTGCCTGCCCGCTCATGGCAGTCCCACAGTGGGTGGGCCAAGCAGAGGGGGAGGTCCCTGGGGTGGGGAGCGGGAGACAGACATCAAGAATCATGGCTCTTGAGCCATGCTCTTTCATTCGCTTCCTCATCCGAGCCTCAGCATTGGCCACGTCCCGTTGTTACCAAAGGCACCGCTACCGGAGCCTTTATATTCCCCCTGCCCTGACGAGAGGGGATCATAACAGCAGGTTTGGAGGGGACCACGTGGGACCCCCTGTTTCTCCCCGTGGCCCTCGCAGACCAGGGCCCATCCTGCCGTCAGTGCTCACACCCGGGGATGTTAGTGGTCTCTCTACTTGGAAACAAAAAAGAAAGAGCAAAAATTAGAAGTTGGAATGGATGCACATTGTGTAAATCCTTGCACAGCACTGTGGAAGTCCACAGCCTCAGCCTCCCCTCCCAGCCTCCAGGTCATGGTTCAGAAGGGTTTAACGGCACAGTCCTAAGTGTCATCATCCCAGAGCTCTGAAGCCTTGGCTTCAGTGCAGGTCCTTCAAAGCAGGGTAGAGTTGCTGCTTGCCTGTTCCCAGTGAGGGGCTGGGACACCTATTCTTCATGGTAGCCAGAGGTTTGTGGGAGTCTGCTAGGAGACTTCAGCAATGTAGACATCATGAGGCCACCGCAAGTCTCAGCTCTACCATGAGATGCATCTTTGTAGATCCAGGCTGGGTTGCCTGAGACAAGGGGGTGCTCTCGTCCCATCACCTCCAAGGTCTGGTAGCCATCTGTCATACAGAATGAGCAAAGACATGTCTCCCCCACTCTCCACCTGCTAGCAGGTTTAGACCTATCTTCTATCTCTGGAACCTCACAAGTCCTACAAAGAGGGGAGATGGGGCAGTGAGAAGTGTCTTGCTGGAACTGGCTCCCCATGATCCTCGGAGTATAGGTCCACTGAACCAGAATTCTTTTTACCCTGCAGGCCCCTGAGCCACTGTCCACCCCTCCTGGACCCCCCTCTCTCTGCTCTGGCCCACACTCTGGCCTTATCCCCATCCCATCTTCCCCCAGATTCACCTCCATGAGGGTGCCTTGAGTAGGTCAGAGCCTTAGTCCTCACAGCTGTGAAATGCAGACAAACTCCCGCTCTAACTGATAGAGACCTGTTCTGGGAAATCCATGGGATTCAGGATCAAGGGCATCTGTCAAACACCAAGTGGGTACTCAACAAGTCATATTCAACCTTTTCTGTGTCTTGTACTGAAGCTCCTGGAGTCCAGTTTCCAACCTGAGTCCTCCTGACCCTCGAGCGGAGACTGATGCCCTCTCCCATCTCCCCACCAGTCTCCTTCCCATCTGTGTGGTTGGCTTCTGCTATCCTTCACTTCCTCCACCCTCAGGTCCACCTCTCCCAGGACTGGTCAGTGGCTCCCACCTTGACCCCATGGAAACCGCAACTATGATCACCTGCCTTTCCCCACGTCCTGGCCTTGCACTGCCCTCCTCCAAACTTCTGTGGTCATGTTGGGCTCTTTCCTGCTCGGCTGACCGCTCTGCTCTTAACCCTCAGCAGGCTGTGAGTGTAAAAGTTTCCCTGGCTTTCTAGGTCCAGGTGGACTAAACACACATCTCACTTAGTTCAGAAACCCACTGAAACAACAGGGAAGAGTATGTTTAGAACATAAACCTGCAAGTATGAGGGTGGAGTAGGAGGTGTCAGGCAATGGCATTCTGAAGCTAGGACTGGATGGGAATGGGTGGACTTCGATCTGGCGAGAGCCACATACAGAGTCGGCACTGGGGCAAGTGGAGGGTGGCCCCTGCAGGCTTATGCTGCAGAACTCCAGAGGGCTTGAAAACTAGCAGCCTGTCCCCTGAGCCTGCTTGGGCTACACCCCAGAGTTTTCATGATCACTGGCCTCTACCTAACAGCTCCCACAAGTACCCAGGTGTCACTTCTGGTATCGGAGCCCTCAAGGCCTACATCTCAATCCTCACACCCACGTGTGCCCCAGCCTACAACATCTGTAATGTGCAGGCAGGAGAGAGCACAGACCACTGAGGGTTAACGTGCTATTCCCCTTTTCCAGGTCTCCAGCTCTTCAGATGCCTGGGCAGCACCTGTAGCCCCTGACATGGGTGGATTGCACTTCCCAGAGGTTCAGTGCCATCTGTGTTTAGCCTAATTCCCGTGGAAGCACTTTTGATTCTTGAGACATTGAGGACTATACTTCCAAAGCCTTTGACGCTCACTTTCCCTTGGCCCACAGACTATAGTTCCATAGTGATCAAGTAACATTTAAAGCCCCTGACAGTGCACAACACTTTCCTGAAACCAGCAAAAGCATGCTCCTGCCTACAGTTCACACAATGCCCGGAGGGCTCTTTTGGCCCCTAGGACCCTGGATTTCATCTTCCAGAGGGCTCTGATCTGCTCCACACCCCTCCCCACAGGACTCACATCAGGGCTTTTGCAGATGCATTCTGCCAAGGACACTCTTTTCCCCAGTTACTTGCTGCTGCTCCTTCTCAGCCTAGCTCGATGTCCTTGTCATATCACCACGATAGCACTTCTTACACCTTCCCAACCATATCCACATCTGCTGGCCTGGGGTCAGCCCATCAGGGGCCACAAAAAGACCTATAGATAGAGTGAACCTCATCTCTCAATCCTGGAATGACTTTGAGGCTGCTGGCTCCTCCGGCACTCGTGGCCTTGCCTAGACAGAGCCATTCCCTGAGGCTGGTGGGGAGATGGGGGACCCTGAAGTAAGGTCTCTGGAGGCACCAGGCCCTGAGTTCCTTGCTTGTATCTCCATCCACTGTTGGGGAGGAAGAATTTCTTCTGCCCTTCAAGGTCTTTCTGGCTTGACTAAGAATCAAGTTGACATGAGACATGTTAACAGGAGAAAATAAAATTTAATTTGGTACATACGGGGAATACATACAGCCATAAAATTCCAAAGACAGGCAAAATGAGGTGTACATGTCATACTGAACTGAGAAAAGTATCGATGTCCGGGAATTCAATAGGAAATAATGTAATTTAAAGGAAAATGAAAGAGTAAATATTTGGTAAACAAACGGTCTTTGGGCCATTCAGAAACAAGAGAACACAGGAATTTGATAAAAGAGGTCTTGCTAAATTCCTCCCTGTCATTATGTAGTTATCTGTGGGGTAGGTAAAGAGCTTCTGAATCTGCTGGGTTTTTATTGCTTTTAACACAAAATAATCTTTATGCCAAAGGGGCCCATCTTGGGGCTGCCTGCCCTTGGCCCCTACACACACAGACATCTGTGTACACGTCCAAGTTTATTCTCACTCCGTTACGGGGCCTAGCATCATCTCACTCTCTGCAACGGGGGTTATGGCCAGGCTAGGATTCATGATGATCCTCCGCAGGTTTGGGGTAGGGGGAGGTGACCCTGCAAATGGGAGTGGTAGTAGTCAGCATTGGGCACTACCACTTCAGATGTCCTGTGGACTGGCCAAATGGTCAGAGTCTCCAAGTTCCATTGCACACAGCCTGGTACATGTCCATTGTGAGGGGCTGGAAGGCCTTGGCCTGGTTGTCCAACACGAACAAGGGGTCAGCAATGATGCCTACATTGAAGCCCTCACGCGCCAAACGTGACTTCACCAGTTTGAACGTGCTTGTGATTGCCAGGGTGTCCTGCAGGGGCAGTAAGCATAACCCGACTGTGAGGCCCTGGCCAAGACCTCCCATCCACCTACTTGTGCTACCCTGAGCTCACCTGGATACGGATGAAATGGGGTGCAGCGTAGGCAGGGAGCCAAGTGCGGACATGCTGGTACATCCTCTGCCCATCGAAGGTCTGGCCGGGGACCAGCTGCACGGCAGCCATGCCCACCTTGCCCTCACAACCTGGGGAACACGCCAGTCATTCTCGGATCACCCAACTCACGGTGCCCATGGCTGACCCTCTCACTTGGCCCATCTCTGCTCACTGGCTGTACCCCAACAGCTCTCCCACCTGTAAAATCTGGGTAACACCCCTCTGCCCACAAAGCTGTTGGAGGTTTAAGATGAGGCAGATCCTCCACACCTGGTACAGACACACCGTAGACGTTCACCTCCTGCAGGAAGTCCACGAGTGACAAAACGCTCTCCACCTCCCGCGTGGACACGTTCTCACCTTTCCAACTGTGTGGTCGAATCCAATGCTAGTGAACGCAACCGTGGCAAAGAGGAGGCCCCGCCTCTTGCCCACCAAGCCCCTCCCCCTGCAAG